GGGGTGTTCCACCTCAGCCCCAAAGCGACTACGCCATTTCACCTCTGACAGGCGGCCTGGAGCCCCCTGCTGGCATGGCCGCCAGCTGTAGCCAGCGCATGGACCATATCAAGGGCCTGGAGGGTCTGACCAGTGTCCCCTCCATGTCGGCTCTGCCCTCTCTGCCCAGCTCCCAGTCTTACTGCCCACCCTCCTACAGCTCACCGGGCTACACCGTCGACCACGTGGCGTCCTACCAGTACGGCCAGTACGGACAAAGTAAGGTCAATAGACTTCACCTTTTCATTTTATAAGAATACTCTTAACTTACTGGAGTGATTTTTAAATGGTGGTATAGTGATTTTTTTTTCTCGTTTTCTCAATTAAAAATCAGTTAAAAGAAGTGACCTGATCATAACCTGAATATATTTTACTGCCGTCTCTGTGGGAGCGTTCCCAAATTTACAGTTCATCTGAACCGAGTCCGCCTGTACAGTTACTGATTATCTAGCAGTGCAGCGACACATGCCCTGTCACCTCAGATTCTTTGCTCAAACTGTAGAAAAGTAAAAACGGCAGCTGTACGTATGTGGCTGTAGTTTTTTTTCAAGAGAGAGCTTTCATTTTCTGCATCCAATCAGGCGGTCTCAAGTGTTGGGGTTAATTGTGCAGATCTGATTCCACGTTATAGGCTGACACCGGACTCTGCAGCCCGGCGTACTGTAGAGTCAGCTCCCATCAGGCTGAAGTGTAGCTGCAGAAGTGTCCGATGGCCCCGCTCAGACTTCTGCCCTCCTAGAAAATACACTTTTCACTTCACATTATTGTTACATTAAAGGTAAAAATCAACTTCAAACAACTCACTGTCTGACTTTGCGAGCAACAGCGTTTCCCTGCTCCGGCATGATTACAGTGGCCACCGTTTCCAATTTACGGTACACAGGGGGTTGACCAATCAGGCTCATCCACTGACCTCGCGGCGACCCTGAGACAAGCGGGGGCCCTTCAAAGAGCTTGGAAACGCTCCAGCGAGTCTGGCCGCAGCAGCTCTGTGGGGCGGCAGGTATCAAATGAATATCTAACCTAATATCCGAGAGCAGCAAATGTCTAATGAAATATCTCGGTCAAATATCTCGACATGGACAGAATAAAGAATTAGGATGACACACGTGCAGGAACCCACTAACATGTGGCACTGTGCGTGCGCACGCACAGACTTGCAGGCGGGGACGTGCACCTACGCAGCGCCACGAGCCGCAGCGCGTCATCTTGATGTGATTAATCAGTGCGAGTGGACGGCCGTTGTGTGGTTGGGTTTGGAGCTGCAGAGGAAAGGTCCTTTCTGGGGGTGGACAGATGCTAATAGCCTGTGGCAGGGCAGCTATTAGAAACAGGTGTGACGACCGAGGTCAGCTGGGGAAGCAGCCTCGGAGAGAGCGCAGCTCCGGGTTTCCAGCGTAGTGTAAAGAGAGCGTTCCAAAAACCTGCGGCTCCACATCCTCGCTGTCGTGTTGCTCTCCTACCGGGCCGCCTGACAGAAACACGGAGTATTAATCTATGAAACACTTGTTTTGCTTTGCTTCAGGTCATGTCTGTGTTGCACAGCAGACACCGCTGCTGGTTTTTGCGCGCCGCACTTAACACAGGTCACCTGTCAGTGTCAGTCAGTGTGTCTGGTTCTTTAACGAACTGCCGTCGCTACCGGTCGGGATGATGGTGGTGTCAGCTCGTGTCAGTTCTCTAGTGAAAGTTAATTATTGTCACACGATTCAATTTGTCCTTTGCCTTTAACCCATCACCGTAGTGAGCTGGGGGGTGGGGTGGGGCAGCTCAAGCTAAGATTCAAACCTGTGACCTTCTGGACACAGGTTTGCTTCCTTAACCACCAGGCAACATCAAAGCACAGGGAAAGCAACATGGTTTATAATTACCTTAGTAATTAAAAGTGCAGATTGAGGATTAGGTCGATGAGACTCTGTGACCCTGTGACGGAGCGGTGGATTGGTCCAGAGGCCTCATCCATGCTGGGATCGATTCAGCATGTCTGCGACTCTACAAAGGATTAAGCGGTAGATAATGAATGACGTAAACATGTAATTGTTCTCCAGTTGTGAGGCAGCAATGAATCTCTCAGCAATTACCCAGACGTTGCTCAAACACAAACACAATACATACTTATGGTCTCTCTGTGGCTGGGTATGACGGGTTACATTAGGTCGAAAAACAATAGCCCCTCCTCCCCCCAGCAGTGATCTAAAACTTGACCCCCTTTCTATTGTAGAAAAAGAATCCTGACACACACACGCTGCTGAAGTTATTATTCTTTTTAGTACTCCATTTGTCATGTTGTACTCTCTGTAATTTGCATTTAACCCATCTGTGAAACACTTCAGTAATTAACACCAGACACACACACAGTGCAGTGGGGTTCACTTTGGTAGGGAGTCTGGGCAGCGGGGGAGTTTTTGGTACTTGCCTAACACACCACACTGGTGCCCAGGGCCAGGATTCAAACCCACAGTTCTTAGATTACAATCACAGAGTTGCCCAAATATATTTAAAAATAACTTCACATACATCAATAATTACAGCTAATCATGTTTTTTTTACACATCACAAAACTTTCATCAAAAAGTCAAGAAATTATGGTTTAAGAATCTCCACCCGGACGTTGAGCTCACGGTGACTTTCTCTCTGAATGAGCGTAGCATCATGGGACACATCAGTCGAGCTCTACCTTGAACAGCGTAGCAAATGCGTTCCTGTTGTTGACTCTTCGTGTCCTGAAACTTCCTTCCAAACGCCTGGGGAGACTTCAGCAGAGTCGCGATTGGTTTTTGACGTCAGAGCAGAAAGTTGTTCGCACGTAAAGGAACAACGAAGATCGTTTTGTTGTGTTGTGATCGCCAGGAGAGGCTAGGTAGCTTTTGTTTAATCACAGAGTGGCGAGTCAAATCTGTGAGTCTGTTGACTGAAGTCTGTGATGGTAAATGACTCCCTCAGTGTTGTAGTCTAAATCAGCTGATGTGAAGACGAACGCAATCCTGAACGTCGTACACATTTAGTCGTTTGTTGAATATGTTTGCAGTGTAGCTAACGCTAATAAAATAGCTTGAAAGCTTCTTTTTTTTAGCAATTTACCTCGTCCTGTAATTTGTCAAACATGTTTCTATATTTTCCAAAAATGCATTTAAATTACATGGGTCTAATTATAATTTAGTTTCTAATTTCTGGTGCTCCCTTTTAGCTGCGAGTGTGTGCAGTCGTTCCATATTGATACTAGGTGATACCAGGTGATACTAGGTGATACTAGGTCATACTAGGTGATACTAGGTGATACTAGGTGATACTAGGTGAACATGTATCGTCTATATATCGTCTATTTCCTAAAAACTGGTCACTGCGTGTGTTAGTGTAGGCATACTGGATGTGGCTGTGTTTCACTTATTTCTCAAAAAAAAAAAAAACCCAAAAAAACCCTCAAGACCAGAACATCTGCATCAGATCGGCCAACACAGTTTCTTATTAGCAGCCATTGTAGTAGTCGGCAACACATGCCCTGTCACCTCACATCCACTTCATTAATCCCACAAACTGGAGAAAACAAGCAGCTGTGCGTGTGGTTGACAGCACACATGTAGAAAATCTCCGAGAAATAAACTGTCATTTTGGTCAATGCCTTTTGCCATGGTAATATTTTCTTATACAGAACAGGATTGTAAAGTTAAGCTTCAGTGAACTGTAACTAACTGTGTTAGCTAAAAACTACTTACGCTATATCTTTTTTTTTTTTTTTTTTTTTCGTCAGCAACTATAAGAAGATCATCTGGTTATGTAGCAAATGTAGAAAAATCATAGCTTGCAGCACTAGCTAGAACTCGAATGTCAAACTCGAGGCCCGCGGGCTGAACCAAATCCAACCTATCATTTTATGCGGCCCACCCGAGTGTAACATGTACTGTAAAATGAATTAGTATTGCTGATAGTTTTTGTCGTGACTCCACTCCCAGAAAAATGATTGACAGAAATATATTTAGCCGATGTATTGCTTATACATTTGTCATATAATCCGATAGTTTCTTGTCTGGAGGCTAAAATCTATTTTTTCCCCTAATTCACGGTTAGAAAAATGTGCTGTGTCGGCACACTACGGTCAGCGCTATTTACTGTATGTTTCCAAACCTCAAGCTGCAAAACCTTAAAGTGCTACTTTAATAAAATGTAAAAACAAGCGATCTGCTCTCAATCTTTCCACCGTTTCAACTCTCATTTCCAAGAAAAAAAAAATGTTGTTTTTGACCTGAAAAATGCTTAGTCTACAATACGATAACCAGGATTAACTGACTCATACCTGACGTGGAGTGGAAAATAAATCTATAACTGCATGTTGAAACTGATCAGCGTCAGATCGTGGATTTGATAAGAAGCGAGGTGACATAACGGAGCGGGTTTTCATCTGCATTTACCGTTAGAGAAAATGTTCAGCACAGTCACAGCAAACAGGTCTGAAGGGTGTTGTCGCTGAAGTTGTTTCTCAGAAATGAAACATATGTTGTTTATTCGTCACGGGTATGATCTTCCTGCAGAAATACAAACAGGTTGTTAGTAGATAACAGAGCTTTTGGGAAACATGTAATTGCAAATACATCAGGATATCATCGCCATAGTCAGTGAATATATATATATATACATATATATACACATATATGTATATATGTGTATATATATATAAATATATATATACACACACATACATATGCATATATATATTGAAAAAATGTGTGAAATTCCTGCTTTCCAAATGTAAAAAGAGGGAGACATTGATTCAAAAGCAGCAGAGTAGAAGAAAAATATACCAATTGAAAAAAAAAAAAGTTGTTTTTATTTCAAATATCTTTGCTACAGCCGTGGTTTGCATAAGCAGCGGGGTCTCGTGTACGCTATGACGCATTTACTGTGTACAAGTACAGCAGTGAAAAGGAAAACAAAACTGTTCTGGGTTTGTGTGATACGTTAGATTCCAGCTCCGTCCTCGTCCCCCTCAGTACTGTTCTCACGTCTCCCTCCACTGACCTTACAACCAAACCACTGTTAGCACATGCTAGGCTAACAACAGCCATATGTCCGATGGCATGCTAAAACATATGTGCGGAATTTATTGCAGCCATATATCTCTTTTATCGTCCTTCCGCGTTATTTAAAAAACGCTTTTCACTGGCAGTGATTTAACAACTGTCTCTTTCTGTGTTTTCACAGGTGCCCTTTCTTATCTGAGGCCTGAGATCACCTGATCACCAGCTCCGCACTTCTCACACACACGCACACACACACACACACAGATCTGTGTGACCAGCAATGGACATTTAATTTGTAGTATCTGGACCAAAACTTTTTTTTTTAATTTTTTTTTATTAACTATCATTAACCAGGACATATTCCTCCACTGCACGGTTAAACTCTGGTGGAGGGAAGATGGATATAAAAAAGACAAGAGGAAAATGAAGAAGGGACCATAGAGGAATATTTGACCAAAAAAACTGTGAAAACAGCTGCACCAGCTCAGCTCAGCGGTCAGAACGGTCAGAACGCCGTCTGTGGATGTCACAGGCCGAGGAGCGTGTTTACAGCGGTCCACGTACGAAACCACATGTTATCACCAACTTAATGCCTGAATTGTATCATCTGAAACAGAGAAGGGCTTTGTTGATTTTATTTGATGAATTTTTGCATCCAGCAAACACACACGGGGAGAACTTCCAGAGAGAAAGAAAAACAAACCTAATAAAACAAATCTGTGTTTTATGTATCAGGAGCTCTAATGTACACCACATCTGTACTGCAGAGGGAGAGAGAGTTCATTCAAACATTCCTCCACCACCGCCCCCCTCTCACCCCCCCACCATCCTCTCCGCTCTCCCTCGTCTCCTCTGTCCTTCTGTCTCATTGATGTCTCGGACGGTGAGGCGAGGATCTTGGCCTTTTGTAGTTTGACAGAGGAGGTCAAGAGGTGACGTTAGGGAAAGTGACAGATGAGAGAGCAGTGAAGGGCGGTGGCGGCAGTGGAGAAGTGGCGGGAAAGACCAGGGGGGGGGGGGGGGGGGGGGAGCCTCATCAGAGGAAGTCAGGCGTTGATTCCTGAGAGTGAGATCAGATGGAACTGTGATGGTTTCCTGTAGAACTGTGTCCACTCCTGTTGAGAAAAAGCCTCCGGGTCACAAGTCACGACCAAGAGACACTTGAGAGACGGGGAGAGTTTAAGACTGGAGGCAGCCGCTCTCCCAGCTGACCACACGTGCAATATCATGTATCTCAGAGTCATCGTCACCGTGACACAAAAACAGGACAAACAAAGTCAAATGTGCCTCTGCGAAAGTCTTACAAAACATTCTACATTCAGACTCTGGTTCTGATTTGTGAAGCTGGAACGACGTTTGTGCCTTTGGAGGCCTTTGAGCTCCAAAACAAATAGAAAGCACTGCCAGTGTTGCAGTCATGGTAAACTGAGGGGACCACATTTGTTCAGACTTAAATGTCATGAGGGAATTACAGCGTCAGCAAAACATTGACAGGAATGACAAAGCCAAAAGTGTTTTTTTTTTTTTTTTTTGTATTTGTTTATGTATGGGACCTTTTTACAGGTAGGAAAAATGGGATTTTTTCTCTGATGCATCGCGGACGTGTTTTTTTTTTTTTTTTTTGTATTTGTTTATGTATGGGACCTTTTTACAGGTAGGAAAAATGGGATTTTGTCTCTGATGCATCGCGGGCGTGTTTTTTTTTTTTTTTTTTGTATTTGTTTATGTATGGGACCTTTTTACAGGTAGGAAAAATGGGATTTTGTCTCTGATGCATCGCGGGCGTGTTTTTTTTTTTTTTTTTTGTATTTGTTTATGTATGGGACCTTTTTACAGGTAGGAAAAATGGGATTTTTTCTCTGATGCATCGCGGACGTGTTTTTTTTTTTTTTTTTTGTATTTGTTTATGTATGGGACCTTTTTACAGGTAGGAAAAATGGGATTTTTTCTCTGATGCATCGCGGACGTGTTTTTTTTTTTTTTTTTTGTATTTGTTTATGTATGGGACCTTTTTACAGGTAGGAAAAATGGGATTTTGTCTCTGATGCATCGCGGACGTGTTTTTTTTTTTTTTTTTTGTCACTAATGTGTCACAGTAAACCTTTTTACATCGTTGTACAAACTATACTCTATCCAGGAAATTCTCAAGTGTCTTCACAAACACTGACGCGTCTGTTGACCTGTCTGTGGCTGCATTCACACCGCTGTGGTTTCTATCTGAAAACCAATTACTTTAACTCCAAATCCTCCTTTTAAAAAACATCTGTTATTAGGGATCATTTGATCAAGATGAATAAGTGTGAATCTAATTACAAAAGTTCTGACAAAGTCATGACAAAATATAAAAAAACCCCATTTTTTCTGATAATGTTCTGCAACGGCCCAATTTTTTCTGATAATGTTCTGCAACGGCAAAATCAATTAAGCAGTCAAATAAATTACGTTTTTTAAAAATCTCTTTTAATTAGTAAAATAATAATTTGGTCGATAAGTTGTCACTATTGAACCATTAAAAAAAAACAATTTCTAATTAAAAAAATCCTGATTTCTGAATTTCCTGAATCATTATAAACATCTAAAGCTCAATTAATAAGCTTAATTAATTATAATAATCATTAGGTGTATTGAAATATTTATATTTTTTTACAGTGAGAAAAAATACAAATGACAAAGAAATACTATATTTAATCAATAAATAAAAATATCTTGTCAGTACAAAGCATGACGGATTCACAGACACTTTTCTGTTTACATGTAACTATAACCAGTGTTTCTATACAAAGCATGACAGATTCACACTTTTCTGTTTACATGTAACTATAACCAGTGTTTCTGACATGTTTTTTTTTTTAAATCATATGTTTTATATTTTTAATCATTTAATTCAGGTTTGGACCTGGTTTATATCTTTTTTGGTTTTCACATAAAACCCCCGTTTGTGTGGATGTGGCCCACGTCAGAAAGAAGCAGCCTTTTTTACTTTCATTCCTACCACATATGTTTTTGTATTATTTGACAAAGCAATGTGACAACAGTATGTCATGTGTACAAGCGCGTTATTACTACTATTTATAATAAAAATGTAAAGCCTCTAAAAATATCTGCTGCTGCGTTCCTGGCTCGTCCGGCCGAGTGGTCACTAAATGGATCCATTGTTTTTTTTTTTTTGCAAGAAGAAGAAGAAGAAGAAAAAAAAGGAGAGTGAGTGAGAGAGAGTGAGCGAGAGAGCAGCTGTTTGCACCACAGCTGAACAAAAGTGCTGTGGGAGATAAATGTGTACTTTTGAAGACGACCAAAAGAAGAAGAGGCCGGACGGAGCGTCAGCAGACACTGGCTTTGGGGACCGAACACAACGGGCTTTTTTTTTCTCACTGATGCTGCTGCATCTGCAGTGGTGTGTGTTGAACGCCCGCTGGCCTCCACTACTGTAACAAACTGACCTTTGTATCAGAGAACAGGCCTTAGAGCCTACTGGACAAACAGCACTCCCAAATTAAAAAAAAAAAAAACACACACACACACACAGACTCCTCTGTGAACGTGTGTGTTTGTGCAGCTAGCACATTCATACATAATGTTCACATATAGTGTTGTTTCTGCGTGTGTGTGTGTGTGTGTGTGTTCATGCAGCCTGAGGGCATTGGGACCTAATTATAACATTCTTCTGATTAATCGTGTCTGCTCTAAGGCCTTGAAGGCGTGGTGGCGCTGTGAGCGCACGCACGCACGCACGCACGCATGTACGCACGCACGCCGGTGCTGGTGCTGGTGCTGGAGCTGGACCTGGACCACACACTCTAAAGTCTAAGTCAATAACAACGCTGAGGATCACTCATAGTCTTGTCAGCTCTGTTTGCTGAGCCTGAATAATGTTTCCAGTGGGAGGACACCCCCCCCCCCCCCTCCCCTCCCCCCCCCCCCCACACACACACACACGCACACGTGTTTAAGTACAAGCGTCGGAAAAGTACAAGAAGTGCAAGGTCCAATCAACACACATACGTCTGTGTTTGCTTTCTTAATCAGTCCATACCATTAAAGATGAAGACAAATCACACCTGCAGAAATTCCAAAGGCCCAACATTACTGTTATTAATGAAGCCTCCCCTGAACTGAAAAGCCTATTATTTCCTTAATACAGCCCAGAGTGTAGTTCCACGCTGCTGTTTTCGTGCTGTCAGATAATGACAAAGTTTTGGATGGTCCTGGTGCCAACAGCTCTTTCTGCCCCTTCACAAACACACACACACACACACACATGCAGTGTTACAGTATACTCCGAGACCAAATGAAGTGAGCAAATTTTTGTCTAAACAATTTTTTTTACTCCAATTTGTAATGGAAAACACCGTCAGTGTTCCAACAACACAGGTGTTTAAAGCTGACTTTGTTGTTTAGTTGTGTTAGTTGTGTTAAAAACTCCATGTATGTCTTTGTATTTATATATTATGTATTTTTACACTTTAGAGGAATAGACTGTAAAAATACTGTGACTTTGACAAATGATGAAATGAGTCAAAAGGTTAAATGACAATTGGCTGAATATATATATATATATATATAAAAAAATATTTATAGCAACATCAACCCCCCTGCCCCCACTCCTCAAAAATGTGTTAAGTGTTCATTTAGACGTTTCAAGGCAATTGGCCTGAACCTCCTGTGAATCTGACCCTCATTGTCCATGCTCTGTGATAAAAGGCCATGGGTCATTGGACACACGCATCTGACCAATCATCCTTGATTCAAAATGTCCTCTTGTTCTTGAGTTGTCAAATGTCTAATTGTCTTGTTTCTGACTGCAGATCTTCGCCATATTTGCCTTTGCTACAACTGGAGGCTACACAGGCACAACCAGCGTCAACATCCAGTGTCCAGGGAAGGAAATACAGGAAGTCACTGCAGACTTTAACTACCCCTTCAGGTGAATGTGTGATCTCAGACCTCACTGAATGGAAATTAAAAATTAAAAATGGATTCAGAATTTTCTATTAAATTTGCCCCTTTTAATTACCCTTGGGTTGAGTTGAAAGCAGAGGGTTTTAAAATATTTAGTGAAATGGTGCTGATAGCCAAAGGTTAGTGTAATTACTAAACATTAAATTGGTCTTAAAGTGAATCAAATTCAATTTTTTTTCATATCCTGATTTTTAAGTATAAAGTTATATTTGTCTCTGTACAGGTTGATGAAGCATCCCTACGATGTTCCTGACTGTAAAGTCAATGAGACCACCACCACTGCACACTACCTGTCAGGAGACTATGCTTCTTCAGCGGAGTTCTACGTCTGCGTTGGGGTGTTTGCCTTCCTGTACTGCATTGCCACACTAGTTCTGTACTTGGGTTACCAGCACCTGTATAGAGAAACCAGCCGTGCTCCCATTGTGGTACGTTTATCTAAACTCTCCTTATCTTTCTCGTGTAAAATACTCGTCATCAGCCATGTCCTGCTCTGCTCGTGTTTCACACGAGGGGGTGGGTCTGCATTCATCAAATTGGGCAATGTTTATATTTTGTATTCATTGGTCATAAGCTGGAGAATTTAAAAGTTTCTGCTTGGTGCTGAATTCCAACAGGAGGTCAGAGAAAGTTCGCTCAGCGGAGCCGTGCTAATGAAACAGGCTCTGCTCTCAAAGCAACTTTCACTCTATGTCGATCTAAAAATACTCTGTAAGGTAGAGTCAGGCTGTGAGTTGACTGCTTTGACTGTTTCCTGTAAGTCTCAGCAAGTAACTCAGCTACAGCTTTCTCCACAAGAACAGATGATAAATGTAGCTTTTGATATTAACAGTGGACAGTCAGTCACAGCAGGACAGTCTGAAGCATACAGCAACCCAGTGCCCACTTGTCTGTGTAGCTGTACACCACTGACACCGTTGCAACGAGACGTTAATTACACATCAAACGGAGTTACTTCCTGGTACTTGTCCCTGTGGTGGAAACCTCCATTCAAATACTAATCTTCTTTTGTTTTCCATCTTTCAGGACCTTCTGCTGACTGCCGCCTTTGCTTTCCTGTGGCTGGTGTCGTCCTCTGCTTGGGCCAAAGGCTTGACTGATGTGAAATACTCCACGAGTCCTTCAACCATTGTTAGTATCCTTGATGTGTGCAAGCAGGAAACCACCAAGTGCACTGCAGGTGCCATGCCTCACATGGGCAGACTCAACGCTTCAGTGGTTAGTTCTTTGTCTTTTCATTTTTTAAAACTTTAAAATTTTTAAATCAGTTTGTTTTGAACTATAGCCTGACATTTTTTTCATTTCCCTATTGTCCTTCTGCAGATTTTTGGATTTCTCAACCTCATCGTGTGGGCTGGCAACTGCTGGTTCATCTTCAAGGAAACACCTTTCCACAAGACAGCCAACCAGCCGGCAAATGTGGAGGGTGGCGTGAGACCAACGTAACTGCTTTTTCGTCTCAATCTCAAAGTGTCAAAAGTAGTTTTCTTGACTCATACTGGTGTTAACGGTTAACAATGGAAAACAAAACTAAAATTAAGGCTTAAAAAATTAAATAAGAATGAAGAAGTAACCAATCCTTATTTGTTGGGAATGTTTGTCATATTAACAGCATTATTAAATTTGAGTTGACTACAACATCAAGACTGCATGATGTTGTTTATTCCAGACAAATGGTCCTTATTTCATTTAGCAGTGCAGATGTCAGTTTATTTAAACAAACTCAGGGTTGGTGTGTTGAAATTTCAAAACATTTAACGGCAAAAAAAAAGTGTTTGTAACACCATAATGAAGACCCTCAAGTTCTTTAAGTGTCATTTTTTTGTTACAAGTTTTGCACTGGAGAAGTAGACTTAAGAGCCTGGTCTTTAACGATCAGTGCACAGCTGACAAAGGTCGCTTTACCAGAGGCAGTACTTCCCCAAAGAACAACAAATATTTGTCTTGTTTGTTTTACACCTTTTTGCAGCTTCTGACCACAGCGATTAGCAGAGT